TCATAGATGTCGATTTTCGAAAGAAATCAGTACTTGTATATTATTTCGTATATTTTTCATTTTATTGATTTTATGGAAAGCACTGTTCATTAAAATGTTGTATCCTATGTTATAGGGCTTGTTTCTCTCTACAATTTCCTGTCTCACAATGTACTATTTATGTCCAGGAAGGGTTGATAGTTTCATATTTGTCGCTTTTCGAAAGAAATGAGTACCTGTATATTATTTCCTATATTTTTCATTTTATTGATTTTATGGAAAGCACTGTTCATTAAATGTTGTATCCTATGTTATAGGGCTTGTTTCTCTCTACAATTTCCTGTCTCACAATGTACCGTTTGTGTCCAGGAAGGGTTCATAGTTTCATAGATGTCGATTTTCGAAAGAAATCAGTACTTGTGTATTATTTCCTATATACATTTTATTGATTTTATGTTCATTAACTGTTCATTAAAATGCTGTATCATTAAAATGTTGTATCCTATGTTATAGGGCTTGTTTCTGTCTACAATTTCCTGTCTCACAATGTACCGTTTGTGTCCAGGAAGGATTCATAGTTTTATAGCTGTCGATTTTCGAAAGAAAGCAGTACTTGTATATTATTTCCTATATTTTTCATTTTATTGATTTTATGGAAAGCACTGTTCATTAAAATGTTGTATCCTATGTTATAGGGCTTGTTTCTCTCTACAATTTCCTGCCTCACAATGTACCGTTTGTGTCCAGGAAGGGTTCATAGTTTCATAGATGTCGATTTTCTAAAGAAATCAGTACTTGTATATTATTTCCAATATTCTTCATTTTATTCATTTTATGGAAAGCACTGTTCATTAAAATTTTGTATCCTATGTTATAGGGCTTGTTTCTCTCTACAATTTCCTGTCTCACAATGTATCGTTTGTGTCCAGGAAGTGTTCATAGTTTCATTAAATAAGTTGCAACAGAGACACCTTAGACAACTCTTAAGAATCAAATGTTTCCATCATGTCTCAAACGTATCGGTTCTTGAAAAAGCTAACTGGGAGAGTATTGAAGTCACGGTTACAAAATCCCCACTAAGATGGGCTGGTCTCGTGTGCAGAATGCAAGAAAACCGCATACCAAAATCTCTTCTTTAAGGTGAGCTTGTAGACGGTAAGAGGAGGTCAGATGGACAACTCAAAAGGTACAAGGATATTTTCCACGAAAACTTAAAGGAGATTAACATGCAAAATGAGTGGGAAGAATCAGCTCACAATAGAACTCAATGGAGAAGAATTGTAAACTCAGTTAACTGCGACAATCAAAAAGTTAAGAGGCAACAAAGCAATGAGATTTTTGAATATCCCGAGTGCGGTAGACAGATAACATCACGTATCCGGCTTTTCAGTTACAGAAAAGCTCATGAAAGAAAACGCCTTGCGTGACCATCTTCTGATGTGTGTCAAATACTCGTCAGCGAGTAATGTCAGTATGTATGTATGTATAAATGGTATAACGTTTCCTAATCTTTTTATTTGTTTTTGTGGAAAACCCCAAATTCTCTAAATGTATTTCCTTTTTTATATCTTCTTTGTGTTTTTCTTTTATTTATCCGTTTCTTTATCAATTTCAACAGGTTTTATGGGTCCCGTGTGTCTGTCTAGTGTAAGTGTCTAAAAATAAAAAGACATAACAATAATTATAGTCGAGGTGAACACCTTGGGCGTATTTTTATCCGCCATGTCAATTGACTCGATTTTTCTTACCAATGACGTCATTACTACGATCGTTCGGACAGTTTCAAGATTACGGTAGAGTAGGTATACAATTTTTTGAAGTTATAAAAATATATTTGGAAAGTTGGAATTGTATTAGATCAATAAGAACAAAAATAAATGTATTATCTTTCACAGGGCAAGCCATTGATTCAAAAATCATAGCCTTAGATTAATTAAATATTGATTTAATCAATGACTAAAGAATACAAAGACAGGTAACGCCCATATACGGCCTGCAGCAGAATTTGTTACGTTAGACGCCATCATGTTGGAGCCTACGGATGAGTCACCGTCTCGTCAACAGCGACAATTTTTGGCGATTTTTAATATTTTTTTGTGAGTGAACTTTGTATGAACTTTATTACAATGGTGATGATGTGTTCAGCTTTCAAGTGTAAAAGCCGCAACGATAAGAAAGAGCCAGGAGTTGTGTTTCATAAGTAAATAAACAGTCCACTCCATCTTTTCAGCGTTTTCTTATTGAATTTGGTAATTATTTTTCTGATACTATATGTACTTGATATGTGCTATACGTCGATATTATAGTTTTGTAGCTTTTGTTAACATTTTAATACGTTTTTTTCGTAATTAATTAGTATGATACCACCGCCTACACCATAGGCGTAGTCGAAACATTTATCAAAAATATAAATACCTCTTCAAGCAGCTAAGTTAAGAAAAATATATGGCCACGGCACTGTTTGGAGCCATGGTAACAATTTGGTATCAGATGTTATATGTCCTTGTATTCTTTAGTCATTGGATTTAATACATAACCATATTTATTAATACTTTTAGTATTAATCATAGCTTGAATCAAAGTATCACGCGACCATACATCTAATCGATATTCTAAGAAGGCTTAAATTAAAGAATATTATTTGTATTAAGGAATTAAAAGCCCAGGTCTAAAAGTTGTTGTCTTCAAATATTGCACGATAATGTCAATTGGACTCATCGCTTTTATTCACTTATTTGATATTGTTTTATTTGCTTTCTCTATTCTCTATTTTAACATTGTGTCCTTAAAATCTGTTATTTTAGAACTTTATTTGTGAATTGACCGTGACCATATCGAAAAATAAGGTGATATAAAACTGTAATCACAATAATACGTTTAACACTTTTTTTATTTTGAAACCACATCAATGAGTTATAAATGGCTTTTCGAAAATAAATAAAATCGGAATTCTAATTGGGTCACCCAAACAATTCCATTCTGCGAATTGTAGTTAGTCAGAGAAAATAATGTTTTTAAGGTATGCGCTTTAAAGTAAATTATTATTAGCCTTGAAGAGGATAATTTTTTGTAAGATATTCGAGATGAACCGAGAAAAAATAGAGTAATTTCGGGTAATATGGAAACCATTTTTATTTTTCTATATAAATTCAAATCCAGACTACAAACACTAATATATAACACCATCATCAAGAGTATAACCACGTACAGCTGTGAAGTGTGGCCAATTAAGGAAACAACAACACTCGAACGAATAACTAATGAACGCATATAAGAGAGATTATGAAAGTTAAACATAAAACAGTAGACGAGATAAGGAACAGTCAACTCATTTGGTACGGGCATGTCCAAAGAATGGCAAAAATAAGAATCCCAAAGCAAATTATAAACTGGAAACCTGCAGGAAGAAGAAAACCGGGTAGACCGAGAAGAAGTTGGCAGGAAGGGATTGACACGTTTATGTAGGAAAGATCTTTATGGAGAGACAGACAGGCATGGGGAGATGGCATTGGAAGACGTAGAACGTTTTAAACCTATTAATATATGTATATACCGATACTAATTCATCAATTTCAGATATTTTGACCAAAAATTAAATTTAAATTAACATGAAATATGTTTCTGTCCAACTTTTGTAAACACTGTTTTACACCTATGATAAACAAAAATATTGTTTTTCGATTGATCCCACTGACCCAATTAGACATCAAAATTAAAAATATTTATACTTCCCCCAAAAATACTTCATTCAAGTATGTGTTTTCCATCACTATTATTATCTTCTAGCTATAGTTTCTACATTAATCACCTGATTCATCACGTCGATGCGGCTGTTGCAAAACAATGTCGCCCGAAATAACCGATATAAGCAGTGCATTTTTCATCCGAAAATACGATAGTTTAAAATAAGTTTAAACCGGGATCCAGTTGCGACAGGCCTACCTGACAACTATGTCAAGAATGACGTCAATGAGCGAAGTGTGAGGCAATGGCTTTTATGTTGATGACGTGGGTACTATGTACACACGACACTTTAGAATAACAGCCGGGAGTTCTCGTATAACTCGAGTTATTTTTGTTTTATGGATTCCGACTTCTTCAGTTACATTAGATATTATCGTATTGCAGTAGCGATTGTAGATTCTAAATTTATATGGATTCTTGAGTTATAATTCATCATCACTACAGTCTCAGAGTTTTGACAAAAGCCAGTATCTGAGACAGTTTTGCAGGCGTCAGTTCCCCACCTCCGATATGAGGCGTCATCTAAGTTACGGATGCAAAGAAGTGTTTCTCAAAGTGGCAATGAGTCTTTGTTTTGTCGCGGTTTTGTCTGTTTGAGCGTATCTACTCTAATACTACGAAGTAACCAACGTATCTGCATTGAAATATGGTCCAAAAGCACCTCAAGATCTCTTATAGTACCAAGACAATATTGGTGCTGGACCAAAAGACATAAAAATTGTAGTTGTAACAAAAAACCTGGCAAGTTGATTCAGAAGATAGTCAATTTAAAAATAGTTAAGTTTCTCCAGCATAATATGCCAGATAGGTTTCTCTGGAGTTAGGTTTCTCCAGCGATGCCAGATAAAATTAAAATTGTTTTAAAAAACTTCAAGAAATGCTGGTGTGAATAAGACAGGTGAAAATGTACTAAAGATATTTTGCAATACAATAAAGAACTAACGATGACATTTTTGAACAACATACAGAAGCAGTCTTAGAAGAGCAACTGTAGTACTATTTAACGATTACCAACTGAAGGGTAACCTTGACAAAATGAAGCAGTGGTATAGGTACCATTCTACAACGAATTCTTTAATCAGTGCTTCAATCTCTTTGGATTACTCGTCCTTCACTAAACAGAACAATGATGCACCAACAGAGCAATGATGAACAATTATACCCAACACATTAATTCATATTTGCTTACACTTGAGTTGTAATTTATCCGACATAACTATACCAGATTTTTTTGTGAATTCTATGTTTTTTTCCGTCGAAAACAAACTAACAAGTACCTCATCTTTTGGCGTGTCGATTAGCGAGCTAAAGCTGGACCTGGACCCGTGCCTCGCCATTCCTCTGCCGGTATTCTCTTCCGGGGAACTGACGTAATCAGTCCTGGAGGTCCTGAACGCTGCCCGACTGAGCCTGTCATTTTCAACACACTGCGTCAGTGGTATGCCGAACACCAAGCCACCTCCGGTAGGCGTAGATCCATCTGGAAAGGAAAATGAGACATTAGTATTTCCTTTTCTTGTTTTAAATATTTTGTTTTCATTAAAAAAATCTTAGATTATCAAGATTTGGAACTACAGCCTATTCATCACCAGCCTGCCGACTTACTATCATTTGCATGAAAATTTGCATACGTACTAATAAATATTTGCAAAGAATGTCATTTACAAAAATCAATATTACATAAAAGATTCTTTCCATTTTATTTTATTACTTACTTTATTACATAAAAGATTCTTTCCAAATTTGCATACGTACTAATAAATATTTGAAGAATGTCATTTACAAAAATCAATATTACATAAAAGATTCTTTCCATTTTAAACAAAAAATTAAACATATTAAGGTTCCAGTTAATTATAATTTAATCTCTCTTGATGTCATGTCATTATATACAAGCATACCCATAAAATTAGCAACAAAAGTTATCAACAAAAAATGGAATGAAATACAAAAATTCACCGATATACCAAGAGAAGAATTTATATATGCATGTGAACTAACATTAAACTCAACATATTTCCAATACAAAAACAATTTTTACAAACAAATCAAGGGTTGCGCAATGGGATCATCCATCTCTAGTGTAATAGCCCAACCCGTTATGGAAAATCTAGAGGAATCTGTATTAAAAAAAATTTAAATTTGAAATACCGTTATACTATCGTTATGTAGATGATTGTATTATGCTAATTCCTAAAGAAAAAAATGAATACGTTCTGAAGGAATTTAATGCATTCCACAAACGAATCCAGTTCACCATCGAAACACAAAAGATAATTCAATCAGTTTTTAGACACCATAATCTATAATACCCAGGGAACTCTAAAAACTATGTGGTACACTAAAAAACATGGTCCTCCAGATATCTGAACTATAATTCAAACCACCCAAAAAACAAAAAATCAGTTATCATAGGTCTCGCTGATAGAGCGATATCATTATCTGACCCGGAATACAGGGAAAATGCAATAAAAAAAGCAAAAGATGCACTAATTTTAAATAATTACCCCACTCAGCTTATAAACAAAACATTTAAACAAAGAATTCACAAATATTATAATTCTGATACAAAAATTAAACAAAAAATAAACAAAAAATTCTTACCAATACCATATATAGAAGGCTTATCCCATCAACTAAAAGGTCTATTTAAAACAGATAATATTGAAGTGTGTCACAAAGGCTTTAATTTATTATCGGAATGTTACACAAAATTAAAATCAAAGACTTCTAAAAACAAAAAGAGCAACATAGTGTACCAAATTCCTTGTAATAATTGTGACGCTGTATATATAGGTCAGACAGGCCAATATCTGGAAAATCGTCTAAAGAGTCATAAATATGACAAAAAAAACATTACAGCACTTGTTACTCACGAAAAGGATAATAATCACACCTTTGATTACAATAAAACAAGAATTTTAAATACCGAAATTAATTTGAAAAAACGAGAATTCCTTGAAATGATTCAGATACAAAAAAACAAAAATGCAATTAACGAAAAAAAAGATGTCGATAAGCTAAGTAGAATATACACACCAATCTTGTAAATAGAAACGCTTCAGTACAGAAAATACATTGAGCCGGCCATCACAATTTATTAAAATGTTAAACTGTATATGTTAATTATTGTGTCATGTGGGTGATATTGTTTGAGTATAATTTTTTTTTTAAGTTAAATGTTATTTGTTATCACCTGTTAATTTTATGCACCCATGTTTTAATACAAGTTTGACGAAGGAAATGTACGTTTTGTGGTAAGTTTTATTTATATTTTTTTTTACACAGTTGTAGTTTGATAATATCGTATTGTAGGCTTTGAAAAAGGTTAAAACTGGACCGAAACGTTAGTTATATAATAAACACTTCCTAAACCCCGAAAAAGTTTAATATTGACCAAAAGCCAAGAACCCTATAAATAATAAAAATAAATATTTGCTTATGCTATAAATAATAAATAATAACTTTATTGTCTGACAGGATTACAGGATCCCAATTAATACACAATTATAAATAATAAACAATTCATAGTAAGTAGTTTAAACATACACAATAGAGAAAAATTGAGAAAAATTCACTTTAAACAAATTACCAAGTAATATATAAAAAACTCCAAAAACCAGATGATCGGATCTTGTAATAGTGACAGCAGTTTAACTAAGGAGCTGTATAGATCTCAATCAGTTACCCCAGACAGCAACAGCTTAGAGTAAGATCCCAGACCAACCTGACATAACTTATTTTCACATGGATGAAACCTTAGGCTCTCAATAGTGCTCTCATGAGCTTTAAATACCAGCGTGTAGTCTAAGAGCTAACAACGTTTTCGAGAAAGTATTATTAAGACGTCTGGCTCTTTGATATATCTTTTACTATGCTCTCTGGAACAGCATGCGGCCCGTCTGGCTGCCGACACCCGTTGCGTTTACTACTGCGCATCGGAAGAAGATCCTATATTTTTTATTAATTTAATCCTATTAATTCTAGTATTGAATATAAATCGAACATGTCTCCATAGCGTTGTGCGTAGAGTTTCCGACCACGAACCGATGATTCAGAGTTCGAATCCGGGTCAGGTCAAAGACCTTTTTATTTTATTTTCGTTTATATTCTGATAGTAAAGTATTAAATAATCCTGGTAATTAAAAAAACAAGTACCCGGATTCGAACTCTGAATCATCGGTTCGTGGTCGGAAACTCTACGCACTGCGCAATGGAGACACTTTCGATTTATATTCAATACTAGAATTTAAAGGACTAATAAAAATATAGGATCTTCTTTCAATGCGCAGTAGGGAACGCAACGTTTACCGGCAGCCAGACGGGCCGCATGCTGTTCTAGAGAACATAGTAAAAGATATATCAAAGAGCCGGACGTCTTAAAATACTTGTTTTTCCGACGTTGCTAGTATTTTTCTCTCGTACTAGTGTTTGAGGAATTCGCCCTGTGACACCTTGGCAGATACAGGGTGAGAAAGGTAACTAAAATTAAGAGTTACTTCACTTAAATTTGTATGGCTGATTTAAGAAGTATTGTAGAATATTACTCTGAAATAGTATCAAAAGTATCAGACACTTTCCATGGACCTGAACTTTTATGAGACGATAGCAAATCAAAAAGTGGATCTTTGATAAAGATAGACTTTATCAAAGCTCCACAAAAATTAAATGAACTTTACTTTTTACATGTCTGATTTTTACATATACAGGGTTGTTCACCACATACGACACGGAGTATTGTAGCTAAACGATTAGATTTTTACAAATTGTAAGTTTTGAGTTCGTTGAAGGTCTATTAGAGCTACAATTTAAAAATATTTTTACAAGATACAGAGTGTCCCAAATAAGTAAAAAATATTATAGTTGTATTTTTTTAAATGGAACACCCTGTATATTATTCTATTTTTGGATTCTACGATAGAAATAAAGGTAAATTTGATCAAGGTTTATCACACTTAAACCTTACCGTTTTTGAAATATTTTCAATTTTATGAAATTGTAGTAAAAATTTTAAGGCTTTATTTCTCCCAGGGTATCAAAGTTTTTAGTACTAAATATTTACTGAAGATTATTTATTGATCAGATATTGTGTTGCAATAATAAAAATTTTACTACCTTATACAGAGTGTCCAAAAATTTATATTAAATAATTACTAGCTTTAAACGGCAATAACTTGTTTAATTTAAACGCAACACCCTATATATTTTACGTGAATCAGATGCACAATGTAATTGTCTATCAAATTGTATTATACCATTTTTTACCCATCTCTTCAAGTTTTCGTAGAAAATGCATTTTCTTATAATTTAGACCTCATTTATCATTTATACCCATGGAATATTGACATTTCAGATTTTTTATAGCACCATAATATGTACAAATTGTACAGGTGGTAAATATTGCAAGCCCATTGGCATACAAAAAAACTATTTAAATCTTTGTAAAAGTGTGTACCAATTAAATATACCACCATTATTTCCTACCAAAAATACCAAAAATTAGTTAATTACATACTTTAAAATGTGGATTTGGCTCAGAAATCAATATAATAATAAGACATAAAAATGAATGTCTCTGTTTTTATAAATAAGCATTCGTCAATAAATGAAATAGAATTTATAAGGTGTTACTTTTTACCACACTGTCTAATACACACAGAAAATTCAGTTTTTTAGTATTTGGAGCAATTATTACTACAACGTAAACAGTCAATTAATGTAGTTTGAATACTGGGATCATATTAATTGGTCCTCTTTAACAAAAAATATTTAAACAGTTTTTTTTTTATTTTTTAATTAAATAAGCGAACTATATCAACAATATTAGTATCTGTACCCTTTGAAAATTTGTTACATTTTTAAAAATAAGCTAAAATGTCAATGTTCCATGGGTATAGTGATAAATGAGGTCTAAATTATAAGAAAATGCATTTTCTATGAAAACTTGAAGAGATGGGTAAAAAATAGTATAATACAATTTGATAGACAATTACATTGTGCATCTGATTCACGTAAAATATATAGGGTGTTCCGTTTAAATTAAACAAGTTATTGCCGTTTAAAGCTAGTAATTACTTAATATAAATTTTTGGACACTCTGTATAAGGTAGTAAAATTTTTATTATTGTAACACAATATCTGATCCATAAATAATCTTCAGTAAATATTTAGTATTAAAAACTTTGATACCCTTGGAGAAATAAAGCCTTAAATTTTTTACTGCAATTTTATAAAATTGAAAATATTTCCAATGTAATTTCCAATCCAAATTTCCAATATAAACCGTAAGGTTTAAGTGTGATAAACCTTAATCAATTTTTTTTACCTTTATTTCAATCGCAGAATCCAAAAATAGAATAATATACAGGGTGTTCTATTTAAAAAAATACAACTATAATATTTCTTACTTATTTGGGACACTCTGTATCTTGTAAAAATATTTTTAAATTGTAGCTCTAATAGAACTTCAACGAACCCAAA